GTTTCACTCTGTCTTTTTGTGGGTTCTGCTGCTTTAGAGTTTGTTTAAAGCCTTTTTTTTAGTATTTGGAGGGCTTTGGGAGAGAGCTCAAGACAGTTACTGCTTTCCCTCCCCCATCTTGGCTCTGCCCCCAGGAAAAAAAAAACTAGATTCAAAAATACATGTGTTTTTCACATTTTTTTTTTTGAGTTCCAAATTCTCTCCCTCCCTCCAGCTCCTCCCTAATCCATTGAGAAGACAGACACTGTGAGAACAGTATTACATGAGAAGTCACGCAAAACACATTGCCATTCAATAAACTTTTGCTGGGTAAATGACTAATGTTATAAAATAGTTATTAAAACTGTGGAATCTATTTAGAGCATAATAGGAGATAGACATTAGATGTTTATGACAACTTTAGGTAAATAGTCCTGCATAATTTGTTCATTGGTGACATTAGATTTTCCCTTCTAAGTACTCTGTGATCCATTGACACTGGCCTCTTTGCCCTTACACACACACACACACACACACACACACACACACACACACACACACACACACACACACACACACACACACCCCCACTCCCTCTCCCAGTTCTAAGCATTTTCTCTGGATGTCCCACATACCTAGAATGCCCTCCCTCCTCATTTCCTTCTCCTGGTTTCCCTGGTTTCCTTCAAGTCTCAGCTAAAGACCCACTTTCTGCAAGAACTTTTCACAGGCTTCCTTAATCCTAGTACCCTCTTCTCTCTGAGAAATTTGGATTGAGGTAGCTATGATTCCTGTGTGTACTGTAAAACTACAAATTAATGATTTGAGATACTACAACCTTATTTGGGGGAGGTGCATTTAGTTAATAATTAAATTAAACCAATATTTATTAAGTGCCGACTCCATACAATGTATTATTTGGCATTAGAGGTAAAAAGATGACAAGCAACATAGTCCATACCCTTGTTTATTTTTTATTCTGAATGCAAAAAATATCAAATAATTGAGTATTTCCATTTAGACAGTAGAACAGAAAGAGATTTGTACATGAGACTTCAGACCTCTATCATATAAAGCTTGATTTTCTTTTAAGTATGTAAATTTAACCTGTAGTTTTCAGAGCTCTCCTGCTTGTCGATGCTTCTTTCTGGTATTCTATCTTTTCTTTGCATTTTAAAAAGATGCCTCCATGGACCTCTTTTCTTTTTTTTTTTTGGCTGTCCTATCACTGTCTTCCCCTGTTATGTCACACCTACTCCATTGGAAAAAAATAAAAGAAAAGCCTTGCAGTAAATACATATACTCGAGCAAAATTAATTCCTATGTTGGCCATGTTGGAAAAATGTATGTCTTCTACTGCACCTCTAGTCTTTTTCTTCTCTGTCAGGAGGTAGATAGCAAGCTTCATCATCAGTGCTGTGGAATCTTAGCTGGATAGAGCTTAAAATCTAATGGGGTGTGCTGGAGGAATATGGTATGTGTAACTGAAGGTAGAAAGTGATAGTACCAAAGGAAGGATGCAGACAAAATGCTCTAAGAAAATTTTAGGAGTAAGAAGAAATTAAGGGAAGGCTTCATGGAGGAGGTGGCCTTGCATTTAGGCCCAGAAAAAAAAGCAAAATATCATAAGGTGGAAAGAGGGAAGATGTTTGTCCAGTATATGAGAGATACCCTGTGCCAGTGCACAGAGATGTGAACACAGCATGAAATTCAGGAACAGTAATTTAGTTTGGTTAGAATCTAGTGTGTTTGAATAGTACACATAATTTCTTTGTAAATAATGGCAGGTTTTGGTTTCTCTTTTTCTCTTTATATAGGCACACAGGCAACCTACACTCGACCAACGGTCAGTCCTTCGATAGGGGCTCGAATGACTGCCACCCCTGGAGCTGCTACCTATGTGAAAACAACCAGCGGTAGCATCATTACAGTAGTACCCAAATCATTAGCTACTCTGGGGGGCAAGATAATTAGCAGTAACATAGTCTCTGGTAGGTATATATTATATGTTATGATATGGGTGTATTTACACAGGATATAAAAAAGCACATTGTTTTCAAGTGACTAGATTGGGTCTGGTCAATAGTTTATTGTATGACCTTGGGCAGGACCCTTCTCTTTGAGTATTATTTTACTTCTCTGTAAAATAAGGGGAGGTTGTAGTAGCTGAGCTAAAATACCTTCTAACTCTGTGACATAATTGTAACTTCTGCTTGTACATCAGTGTAGAAATCCAAAGCGTGGTTTCCAGTCTCTACTTTGAATGACTAAGTCTAGTTTTTGGCCTTAATTCTGACACAGGGACCAATTAGTACTTGATCTATGTTAAACTTTTGATTTAAAAAAAAGTTTAATACAGCTTTTTTGTTAATACTGAAAGGACATTATTCATCTATTCTTAATCAGTAATATCACTTTAGATTATTAAAAATCAAAGCATTAGAAAATCCTATTTATATCCCCCTATTTATGCTGGCTTCTTCCTATTTTGAAATTTACTAAGACAGTAAAAATTACTATTCTACTTTTAAAAAATCTTTTGGAATTGTCTCTGGTTTCTTTTGGCTTATCTAATGCTGCTAAGTTTGGGTTACAGCCTCTAAAGTGGAATGTTTTCATGAAAGCCATTTCTGTCAATTATTGTTTTTTAATTAAAATGACAAATCATCTCTGATCAGGCAGCCCCCACTGATTCATTTTTGCAGGTGAGAAGTGTTTTCTGCACCTTTGGTGGGCGGCTCTAACGTGGTAAAGTCAGGAAATGTGATCCTGGTATTGGATTGCCACTTTTTAGAGGGTAGAAATGAAAATCATAGAGTTGGCATAAGGCAGCATGTTCTAAGCTGTGAATTTTGGCCTGATTATAAGTGTGAGAACATTTGATTTTTGGCAAATTGATGAGGGTCAGATTTTGAAGGAATTCATCTTATTTTAGCTTTTAAGAAGAAATTATAAATATCTGTTAAAATTCAATGTATAATATATTGCTTGATAATGCCTTTAAAACGTGAAATAGTGCAATGATTTTATTCCATTTAAAAACATCTTTCCTACATCATAACATCTCTTGCCTTTGTATGTAACTTTTTAAGACCTTAATGGTTTTAGTTTTTTGAGTTATAAATTCTTACAGGTTTTGAGATATAAATTCTTGGAATTCTTAGAAGATTAAAAGAAATATCCTAAGGTAATACAGATCTCTTTTCCCATGTTGTGCCTGATTCAGGTGTGCCAAATCTCTTGCTTACTTCAAGGATACTTAATTTTTTGGTTTAAGTACTCCCACTACTGTTGCAGATTGCAATTTCACCACACCTTAGATGGTCTTCATGACTTGCTGTGGCTGAAATAAGTCATCACTCAATGTCCAGTTCTCTGATGATGAGCTTCTTAGTATCTATTATGCTTTATAGCTATGCATGTAAATAGGTTATTCCTCAGCCATAGTCTGTCTATGGGCCTTTTCAGTTATGTAGGACTTGCCGGAATATGTATTCATGTTCCAGTGATGTATCCTTCAACAACTTGGGTTCCTTTCCATTCTTAGGATGAAGCTTTGGGAAAGGACTTTGACAGAGCCTCTCTTTGACTATAGTAGAGCAAAATAACTACATTTTTTAGAGGAAGAGAGGTGGTTTAGTGCACATTATACATGTGTATATTTCCTTGGCCTTGATATTTGAAGGTAAAGCAATTGATAGTATATTGCTCTTTTTTTGTGTGTGAGTGTATGTGAGACCAAAAAGACTAATTGATAACCTACAATCCTTTTCATTATTTTGTACACATACATATACATTTTATCTGGGCCTCTAACTTTTCTGATACTCCTGTTTTAAAAATAAAACAAAAAATTCTCTCATTTCTGATTTTTGTGTTGTAGTTGGGTTTGTCAGTAGCAGTAGGGTCTTACTATTCTTCCTGTATATAGGCAGTGCTAATTGTTTTAGGCCCTTGGATGAATAAAACTTGATAATGTTCCACTGTTGTACTTAGCTTTTGGCAATATCGTATTTCACATCATCAGTCATGTTACAATTGCTAAGGAATCTTGTTTGGATGGTGCAGATATTAGGTAGGACACTTTTTTCTTTAATTTTTTTATTGGTGTTTTTTTCTTTTTCATATTGATGTAACATCCTGATACCCACTCCTCAAACGAGAATCCACTTAGTTACAAACAGGTACAGTTAAACAGAACAATCTAACACGTTGGCTCAATGACCATTTCTAACAATATATGCCACATTCTGTACCTCTAGTCCACTACCTCTCATGAGAAGAGGGATATATGTTTTTTCTTGAGGCCTCTGGAATCAGGATTGGCTATTACATTGATCTGAATTCTGATATCTTTTATTGGTATTTTCCTCTACATTGTTTTGTTATTTGTGCATATTATTCTCTTGCTTCTACTTCTTAAAATTTTATTCTGAACTTAAATATTAAAAAAAGAATATTTCAGGGCAGCTAGGTGATACGATGGGTAGAACATCAGCCCTGGAGTCAGGAGTATCTGAGTTCAAATTTGGCCTCAGACACTTGACACTTGCTAGGTTTGTGACTCTAGACAAGTCATTTAACCCTGATTGCCTCCCCCAAAACAAAACAAAACATTTCCATACATACAGTAGAACCCAAAAAAGTATTCTATATCAAACTTATTCTTCGCTTTGTACTTGTTGCTTTTTAAAAAAAAATGTAATAAATTCTACATGGTATTTTCAAAATTGATCTGCTTATCTGGGCTTCCTTCTGAACTTCCTTCTGTTCCTTTTTGTGCATTTAAAAAATATTTCAGTGGCCCTTTTATTCAGGCATCACTATTTCTAATCCCTTTTCTTCCCCAACACCTTCTGTCCCCTGTTAGTTGAAAGTAAGGGAAAAAAAAAATTGTAATAAATATAGTCAAACAACATATCCAAAAATGTATGTCTACACCCTGTCTACCACCTCTCTGTCAGGAGGTTAGTGATGTGATTATCAGAGGTTTCTTGGAGATGTTGTTGGTCATTGTTTTCATCAGTTTTTAAAGTCTTTCAGAGTTTTTCTTTACTAAATATTGTCCTTGTGTAAATTGTTCTCCTAGTTCTGCTCACTTCACTTTGCATCAGTTCATACTATCAGGATTTCCTAAAATTATCTCTTTTGTCATTTTTTACTATTACATTCATATTCCATGATTTATTCAGCCTTTCTGCATTTGTCCAAGAGTCAATTTACGGCATCCCTTAGAGTGTAATTCTTTTCTTTTTCCTCCCTTTTTAATTGCCCCTTTGGGATCAAAAGATTTGTTTTTTCCCTCTACGCATCCTGGCTTTTTTCCCTGTTGTGTTTGATGTGTTTTGACACCAAACTCTGAGTGTGTGTGTGTTTATATTCAGCTCACACTTTGTGAGTGAGTTTCACCAGGTGTGATGGCATATACCTATATTCCCTGCTCTTGGGGAGGATGAGCTTGGAAGATTGAGTTCAGAAGTTCTGAACTGCAGTGGGGTGAAAATTGATTGGCTGTCCATGCCAAGACCTGCACCAATATGGTGAGCCTTCAGGAGTGGTGGGCCCACAGTTCAACAGAGGGTTGAACTGGCCCAAGTTGGAAATGGAACGACTCAAAGCTTCTGTACTGATCACCATTGGAATCAGGCCTATGAGTGGCTGCTATATTTTCCACAAGGCTTAGGTGAGAGGGAGATTCAATCTCAAAAACAAACGGAGGGAGGTTCATCTGATACCTATTCTCCCCACTTCCTCCATGTTTGTATATCTTCTCACCCTAATTTTGGGAAATAGCAAGTTCTACCCCCTTCTCCCTTTCTATATTCATATATTCCTCTTTTTGCCCTCTCTTCTCTTTCCTCTCTTCAATCCTCACAACAGAACCAGTCTACTGCTTTCTTTTCTAAGCTAATTAGTCTTCTAGTACTTTCCACTTAGAGCTTTTATTTCACTTTTTTATTTCTTCAGAGTTTTCATGTCATCTTTTTGGAAAATCTACTTTTCCTTTGAGTTATTGCTTGTTATAGAGTTGGATTTGCAATAATTTTTGATGCATGCAAGTGTTTTATTTACTCAACTCTCAAGTTTTAGTTATTGAACTGGGGATTTATGTTAGGGCCAGGTTCTGTCCTTTGCTGTACTTTTGGGTGGTGTGGTTACCCCTGCTTGGTCTTGCCTCTGGGTCCCCTGGGTCCTTGTGATGACCTCTGCCTCCTATGATTTGCCCTATCTGGGTCTTTGAGGTTCAGAATGCTGGATCTTCAGGGCTTCTCTAGTGTCTTAGTGTTAGGAAACTTAGAACCCTTGAAACTATCAGTCCTGATCTAGATTTAAGCCCTGCAGCTGTCTCACTAATCTCTGGTCACGTTGCTGTTCTTCTGGGCTTCTGAGGTCCCCACCCTGAGGCTTTCTCAGGGAACCCCCTGCCCTTGTTGCTTCTGGTCACAGAGCCTTGCAGGTTCCTGGTCTCTGGTCACATTGATGCTTCCCATAGGCTTCTATCAATTTTTTTTCTTTTTAATGTAGTTCTGGGGTGGAAGAAGATGTCACATAGTTTCTCATTGGATTTCTCAATCATTATTGAATATGGTGTGAACTTCATTGTTTTATTGGAGTAGGGAGCTAGGAAGTCTTCCCCTGGTAAAGCTGAAAGGAAACCTAGAAATCATCCAGTTTAAGTCCTTGCTTTTACAGAGAAACAGACTAAGGTCCTGGAGAGGGAAAGTGACTTTCCCAAGGTCACACTGGCAATAACTCACGGTGGAGCTAGTGTTTGAACCTGGGTTCCTTTTACTCCAAATAGAGCACTTTCTCCATTATACCACACAGTTTCTTGCTCAAAGGAGTTAACATCACTGGGGTTCGATCACTAGCGTCTCAGCTGATTCATTTGTGAAACTGGGAAACATTTCTGGTTAGGGCAACATTCTGTGGATTCTGGAGGCCCACTTCATGAGGGATATACTGAACCAGATGGCCTTTGATGTCTCTTCTGCCTCTTGAAATTCTGTGATTCTCTGAGTGTTCCTAAATGGGAAAAACTATTTGAAAACTTTTTTTTAAAATTCTACAAAGGGATAAAAATTATTCAAGATTTATTAGTTAGATATGCATGTAGATATTCAGTGATCATCCACTGAATTAATAAACAGATGTTGAGAACATCCGTACTTACTCAGAAGGGGGCCAGCTCATAGGGATGTTGGAAACACTGGAAATATTGGCATTTGTTTAGTTACTTAAACATTATGAGAGTAAAGTACCAATCCATAAGTGTCACTGAATGCCTTTGTGCTAGCATGATCCTTTGGACTTTGGGAGCTAGGGAGGTGTGCATAGTAGTTCTACCTCTTTCCTAGACTTCATATTGAGTGATGGAGTTGACACATGAAATAACAACTGTATTACAAAACTGTATTGTGGCTTACAGATTTGGACCAGGGAGGGAATAGAATGGCCTGGAAGAGCTGGGGAACATTTCATAAACTTTCATCTCATGGAACTAAGGATGAGCTTTGAAGTACAGGTAGAATTAGTTTAGGCAGAATCTAACATCTCAGCTAGAGAGAGGGTATTTTAAGCAGGGAGGTATATAAGCAAGGGCAGGAACAAACATGGTGTGTTTATGGAACAGAGAAGAGACTATTTTGATGAAAGTGGAGGGTATATGTTAGAGAGTAGTAGGAATAAGGTGGAATTATTTAATTGGAGGCTCGAATTTGAAGGGCTTTGAAAATCAATCTGAAATAGATTTTGAAACCCAGAGTCACTTCCACTTCTCAGTGAGGCACCAGAGAAAACTCTTTTAGTATATCTTGGATAAATAGTTACTGATTTCTCCATTTGGTCCCTTTTTTATAGAGAATTCGGCTGTTCTAGAAGAAGGGTTCTTAACTTGAAGTCACTGAAATTTTTAAAAAATTTTGATAATTGTATTTCAACATAATAGGTTTTCTTTGTAATTCTGTGTATTTAAAAACGTTCTGAGAAGGGGTCCCTTATTTACCAGAGTGCCAGAGAGTCCATGATACAATAAAGGTTATAAACCTCTGGTCTAGAATATGATCATTTTATATAGATTATACAATATCAATAATCCCCTAAATATCTTTGTCACCAATTTATATAAGAGATTCATGGACTAGGAGTCAGAAAATCTAAGTTTGAGTCTAAGATTTGTCTCTTATTAACTATAGTACCTGGGTAAGTCATTTATCCCATTTTACAGATGAGATAACTGGGGCTCAGAAAGGTTAATAACTCCTTGTACTGCTTACCTCACAGGGCTCCTTTAACAGTCAAATGAGAGAATATGTGTAAGGTGCTGTATAATTCTAAAACACTATGTAAGTGTATGCTATTATCATCATCATCATCATCATCATCGGTAACAGCAGTTTCCTCACCTGGCTGAAGTTTTCTAGCTATAAAACTCGATTTGATGGGACTTTGCTAATTAGAATTTATGTAATGATTTATCACTTAATGATAAGAAAAACTTGTTGGTGAAAGGGATACATTGTTGCAAGTCATATTTTTAGATTCTATAGCAGATGCCTTGGCCTATAGACTCCAGTCAGTATGATTGCTTTGACAATTTAATTTTTCATATCTTGCCATGATGGAAAGACTTTTTTCTTAGTATTGAATTGTTCTGAAGATAGACTATACTTGAATATAAGCTGTATGTCTAAAATTAGAGAAAAAAAAAACCAGCATGTTATAATAGAAAGGGTCTTGAAGTGAAAAGATCTGAGTTCACATCCCAGTTCTGCTGCTATTCATTCTACCTTGGGCAGGTCATTTCACCAAGTCTATGCCTCAGTTTCCTCATTTGTAAAATATGGATAATAATGCTTGTACTGACTATCTTCTTTCCCCACAGGGTTGTTTGGGAAATGTTTTGTAAATCTTAAATTACTATATAAATGTGAGCTATTATTATTTCTTTGAAGGAAAAAGGTGTAATTAAGTATACATTGAAAAATTACGACAATTATAGGCTATATTTATACTTGGCTAGAAATAGACTCAATAACTATTGCCTCAGCAAGTATGGAGAAGGTTAAGGCTAATGGAGGGGTTGGATCTAAGTTGGTAGTGAGAGTGCCCATACAGGAATAATGGATTATGGGTATATTGAAGTATATAGGCCATAGGAAGCATGGTACAATGGAAGGAGCACTTGGAGGACCTCAATGCAAATCTCAGGTCTTCCACTTACTCTGTTTGACTTCTGCAAGCTCTCTGGGTCACCATTTCCTTTTCTATTCAGTGAGAGGGTTAGGTAGTCCTGGTCCCTTTCAACTGAAAATTAGCATAGTGCCTTGCGTGTAGAAGATGCTTAATAAATGTTTGTTGAATTGAATTAAATCATATCAGGTTTATCATGAGCCAAATTTTGGGGTAAAAATTGATGACTGTAGTTGGATCTGTAAGATATTTGAAACCTTTGTCTTCATACAGAGGAGACATATGATTAAGGGTATGAATTGTGTGCAACCTAAGTAGAATTGATCCAACATCATCACTCTTAACTTGGGCCTCCTTTTCTTCCCCCTTCTCTAAGGAACGACCACCAAAATCACCACCATCCCAATGACTTCCAAGCCCAATGTGATTGTTGTACAAAAGACCACAGGAAAAGGAACGACCATTCAAGGCCTCCCGGGCAAAAACGTTGTCACAACATTGCTAAACGCTGGAGTAAGTAAGAGCTTGACCTGCAGGCTCAGCAATCCACTGAGGATGTTAAAGGGCCAGCTATCCAAATATTTGCTTAAAGAAGTCAAAACCCCACGATGGCTTGAACTTTTGATTTACCACTGCTGTGCTGTAATAACTATAAAGACACCACCTATGGATGCCATTTTTCACAGTAATTTCTAAAAACCATTGAATATTGCTATGGTGGCTCTGCCCCAGCCTGCTAGATTGTGAAGCATGGGTCCTTGTTTCACAGGCTTAGCTTGCTTCCAGATGGAGAGTCTCACTGGCTTAACAGCATAGAAACTGTTCTCAGAGCAATCTCTGTGCCTATGTGTGATCAATGGATGCAGGTTTCAGCGTATGGGCCCAGGTGGAGGAGGAAGGAGGGCCTAGGCTGGGGAAAATGGAATTCTTGAATGACAGAGGCTAGAAGAAATGCAGAAACGAGATCAAAGAGGGACAGAGATGCAGAGAGATATCAAGAGATAGACAGATACAGCCTCAGAAAGGAGAAAAATACGTACAGGAAAGAGAGACACAGTCCAACAAAGGGGAGAGCCATGAGGAGGCAGCCTTGGCTGGGCCTGAGACCACATCGACTCTGAGCACAGGACTCAGGCCTCCCTATGCCTGTGCTGTGTTTTAGTAGTCACAGTTCCTTATTAATCCCCCATAGGGACTCATGCTAGTTCGCGTGTATAATACTGGAAGAGCTAATGCAGTCTTAGGCTTCGTGACAGCTAGTATCCAGATTAAAGGAGATGATAGTCTTGCAGTGCTTTGTCTTGGTCAGACCACATCTGGGGAATTATGTCCACTTCTGGACACCATATTAGATCAATTTTTGACAATGGAATTGGTTTTCTTAGGAGGTATTGAGCTCCCTAACACTGGAGGTCTTCAAGTAGAGGCTGCTGGACGACCATTGGGAATATGGGAGAAGATTTCTCCTCAGGTTTGGACTGTATGATCTCTGAGGTCAACTCTTACAGTCTGTGATTCCAAGATTTAATTAACTAGGGGAGATTTGGTTCTGTCTTCTTATTATTTACCTTTTTGAGCTAATCCAAAAAGTCAAGTAAGTAACAATAAATTCTAGCTTGATATAAAGAGATGGGCTTAAAGGTTTAGCCTTGAGACAATGCTTATCAACCATGGGTAGAAAGTAGAAGGTGACAGCTTCTTTAAATGGAAAATAAAGAGCTTCTCAGGCATAACATTAATCTCAAGTGAGACAGCTGGCAGTCAGGAATTAACTTTATTTTATATCCAAGGACACTAAGGTTGTGATTCGTCTGAGGAATCCCAACAATTAAGGAGAGTCAGAACCTAGCCAGTACTTTATCCGCTATTCTGTCTTACTTGTTCTGGATGTTCAGATTTTCATGGTAACCAGATTTGTCTTATGCCTAAAGCTTGGGCTTAAAAAAAACAAAACAAAACTATATCAGTATAGAACAGAAAGGGGAGGCATGGATAGATAATAGTTTTTATGAGAAATTCTTGGGAATTTTAGAGTACTGAAAGCAGTTTGATTAGTTAGCCAATAAAGCTAATGTGATGTTAGAAGACATTAATAGAAGCGTTGTGTCCAGGATGAGGAGTCTTGTGTTCAGTTCTGGCCCACACTTTAGGAAGGGCAGTGGCAATGTAGATTTCATCCAGAGGAAGGTGCCCAGGATGGTTAGGGGACTGGAAAACCAACACTGTGAGAGGAGCACTGAAGGAACTAAGGATATTTGTCCTGGAGAAGAGAAGACTTAGGGAAGACACGATCACTATCAAGTAGTTGGACGGCTTGCATGCAACAGAGGGATTAGCTTTGTTCTCCTTGGCTCTAGAATGCAAAATTAGAAGCAGTAGATGGAAGTTGCCAAGAGATCTCTACTTGATATGATAAAAGAAAAACTTATTCACAATTATAACTGTCCTAAAATGGAATGGCCTGCCTCAAAAGGTAATGAGTTTCCCCATCCCTGGAGGCCTTATGCTGGAAGCTGGCTAACCACCATAGAGGATGTAGAGTGAACTCCTACTCAGGTAGGGGTTACACCACTCATGCCTCTGAGATCCCTGCCAAGTCTGTGTTTCTCTGCCTCAGTTGAGCACTTGAGGAAATGCATCAACCCTTTTTGAAAATTTAAAACCATCTGGGAGAGATGCTTAACAAAATACTCTTTCCTTCATTCTATAAACAGCGACTGAGTCCCTGCTGTGTGCACACAGGTCCTGTTGGTGCTAGGGGATTAGGAAGATAACATTTGACATGGGCCCTGATAACAAGTTGCTTATAGCCTAATATAATGTAGCTTTTGTAGTTACATGGATCCAGACATTGGTAATGTGAGGCTTGGTCCCTGGATCCCATGACTCCTCTAGGATATGGGGAGCACCATAGGGCTGAGAGCTCTTTGTGAGTTCTGTGATTTCCAGGCTTATCTGTAGTAGCCACTTGATTGCCATACTGACAGGCTGCTGTACTAGAAATACTCATATAACGAGTGACTTGGGAGGAATGAGACTAGCATCCATGTGTAACAGGCTTTCCACTACACATCCTGCAAGTTGGCTTTGAGTGGTTGTAAATGACTCCGTATTTGGGCAAGACCACCCCTGGCCATCAATAGGTAAGTGTACTCATCTGCAAATGAGTAGATATCTACATATGGACTATATCATATTTGCCCAAAGCTGTTTCTGTAAAGATTGGTCTGTGTATATGTGTGTATGTGTGAGGGAGAGGGAGAGGGAAAGGTTGGAGGTAGAGGGTAGAAATGCATGGCAAAAACTTTGCATATTTTTTTTAAATAACTCTAGCAACCAGGCAGTGCTTTTGAGCCTCATGCTCAAGCACATTGTTTTTGTTAATCTTTAATCCTGCAGCATGGTATAGTGGAAAGAACCCTCTCTTGGGAGCTTAGAAACCAGAGTTCTAGTTCCACATCTACCACTAATTATTTGTGTGACTTTGGGCAAATCTCCAGGCTCTTTCTTGTCCTCAGTTTCCCCCTTTTTAAATTTAGATGATTGGGCCAGTTGATCTCTTAATGTCATTTTTGACTTTTAAATCCTCTATTCAGTAAACACCCTCTGATTGCTTTGTGCCAGTTCATTCAGGGATCTTACAGATTTGTTATCAAAACAGCAGTTTTAGTTCCCATGTTTGCAAGTTAAGAACAAAGAAGTAAAGTAAAAAAATGAAGGCGAAAGTTAAGACAAAGTAAAGACAAACATGACCTGTCATTTCACATTTTTCAGGTTTTTAAAATTTCAAGTATGAAACTAGTTTGGTGTGATTTTCTTGCACTAAAGTCTAAGTGGAATGTCACTGAAGCTGTGCATAACATTTTTCTACTACTCTGTTCTACCCAGACAGCCTGCTTACAGCTCATTATGATTTTATGTGGCCTCAGAAGAGCTGGAAGGCTATCTTCTATCACTTCTAGAGAGGCAGGGGATGTAGCAGAAAGGGTACTAGACATAGAGCCACAAGACTGAGGTTCAGACCCTAGCTCTGGCCTCTATTTACAAAAATAAAAAATGCACTACCTTCTTCAGGAATATTATGAGAAAAACTCTGTAGACTTTCAGGTGTTGTAGTGATGTGATTTGCTATTCATTAAAAGCCACTAGGTGGCATAGTAGATGAAACACCAGACCTGGAGTCAGGAAGACCTGAATTCAAATGCAGCTTCAGACACTTCCTAGCTGTGTGACCCAGGGCAACTCACTTCACCTCTATCTGCTTCAGTTTCCTCACCAGTACAATGGGGATAATAAATAGCACCTACCTCACAGGGTTGTTGTGAGGATCATATGAGATAATAATTTTAAAGTGCTCAGCACACCACCACGCACATAATAAGCACTATATAAATGTTAGATAATATTATTATTACTAGCTATCATTATTTGTAAAGCACTTAGAACAGTGCCTGACGCATAATAGGTGCTTAATAAATGCTTGTTTCCTTCCTTTCCTTCCTTCATTGTAGCACTCCAATGATAACTATCCATTATCTATTCAGTGTATTTTCCCCTTATGGGGAACATTTAAGCAGGGATTTGGTTGGTGTCTAATATACTTTATTATTGGCATACTGTATAGTATATTGTGCAGTGTATTTTAATTACTAATGAGAAAGTGAGGAATTTGTTGTATTTCTTTTTATTTTAATTTAGCCTGTTAATTGGGCTATGGATAATTTTGGGCACATCACTTAGGCATGTTATATAATGTGATTCCTTTCAGTGCAGGGAAATAGAATGAGCACAGAAAACCTGAGTTGTCATTCCAGCTTTGCCATTTATTGGCTGTGGGAATATAGGCAGATAGTTCAACCTCTTTCAGCTCCAGTCTCTTCATCTCTTAAGTGGGGATAGTAATATTTGTCCAGCTTGTCTAACCGGGTTGTGGTGAGGATCAAATGAGTCAATGCATGTACAACTATTTTGAAAATTATTAAGTGTTATATGAATGTAAGGGATAATACTCTTATTATGAATTCATCCATTAGTCAACAAGTATTTATTAAGTACCTTAAAAATGAGCAGCTAGGTGGTATAATGCAGGTCTTTTTAAATTTTTCCACTCATGACCCCTTCAGCACTTATTAAACTGTGGGTCGTGACCCCATATGGGTGGATAGTGTTCCAGACTTGGAATCAGATTGAGTTCAATCCTGCTTCAGATACTTACTAGTTGTATGATCCTGGACAAGTCACCTAACTTCTTTTAGACTTAAGTTATACATCTTTAAAATGGGGATGATAATGCCATTTAACTCACAAGGTTGTTGTGACAATCAAATGAGATTTTATATATCTATATCTATATCTTTATCTTTGCAGACCTCAAAGCACTATACTGGATACCCCAGAAATTTTAGTGCAGTTTTAAGCTTTAATGACTTTAATAGCTTAATGTTACACTGAGACTTCTGAGATACCCTGTATAATGATTTGAGGTCTGTAATGAGACTTACATATATTAGTATATGTATATTATTGTATGTTGTGTTAACCACTGGGGATACAAATACACTAAAGAAACTGTCCCTATCTTCAAGAAGTTTATATTCTATCTTCCAAATAAAGAAAGAATGTCAGGGGTTGAAAGATTCTTTCCTTGCATGGGGGGGGGGGGTTGGATTAGATATCTTAATATCCTAAGATTTAGAACTAGACATGACAATGGACATAAGTCACCTGATCCAACTTTCACTTTAGGGTTAAGGACATGATCTCAGTGAAGTGAAGGTACTTGGCCTACACTCCATGGTTAGGAAGTGAAGAACTAGGCATTACACCCAAATCTCCTGACTCTAATTAGTGTTCTTTCTACTGCATTGCCATAAGAGTTAGGAAGAAAGTGCTCTATAAACCTTAGAGCTCTACAGATATGAGGAATACTTATTAATAAGGTCCTTGCTAACAAGATTCTCTTATCCTGAATATTTTTTCATTCAACTTCCGACAAATGGCTGAGTGCCTATTATGTGCAAGACCTATACCTTGGTGCTGGGATGCAAAAATGCAAAGGTGAATCCGAGAGAGCCTCTGTCCTTAAGGAGCTAACATTCTAATACATGAGATTTTATGTGCAAATTACTATCATTCAGAACAATCTTTTAGTATGTAATAGACATGCAAGCAAGATGCAGGAAGTCTTTAAGAGAGAAGGAGTGCTCTTATCAAAAGCATTAGGAAAATCTTCATTGAAAAGGTAGTATTCAAGCAGGGAGGGGTAAGATTTCAACATGTTGAAATGGAGCTAAGACATTGGATATAGGGAGTGATATGAGCAAAGGTTTGGGTTAGAAATGAGGCAAAATTTGTAGAGGTATATGTAGAACATCGTCAGTCCTAGTGCTTTAGAAAAGGCATTGATAAACTAGAGTACATCCAGAGAAAGGTGTCTAGGGTGATCAAGGGACTCAAGACCCTGACATAGAAAAATCATTTGAAGGAACTGGGAATGTTTGATCTGGAGAAGAGACAACTTAAGGGGGACATGGTAACTGTGTTCAAGCATTTGAAGGACTGTCCTGTGGAAGAAGGATTAGAGTTGTCCTGATTGGCTCCACAGGACAGGACTGGGGTAATGGGTGGGAGTTACAGAGAGGAAGACTGACTCCTAACAGAGTTGTCCAAATGTGGAGTCGGCTCACCTCACCAGAGGTCTTCAGGCAGAGGCTGGATGACGGCTTGTTGGAGATGCTGTGAAAGGGATACCTGTGCAAGTCGAGGGGGTGGCGAGCAGCCTAGATACTTTCTGAGGTCTGTTCCAACAGTGCTCTGAGACTGTGAACACCTCAAAGCTCTGGTGCAGTTCAAATTCAATTCAACTCATTTAATATTTTTGAGCACCTACTATGTGCAAGATCCTATGCTAGGCCCTGGGTATACAAAGATGTATATGGCCCAGATCCTGCTTCCGAGGATTAATCATCAGTCAAACTGGATGTTGTATAGCGCATGGCAAGGAACTGTGTGAAATAAAGGCTGAACAGGTAGGTTGGGACCAGGTTATGGAAAACCTTTAATGTCATTGTAAAACATTGCACTGTGCCTTATAACATTTTGTCTTTTCCCTTGCTTCCCCTATAAAGGTTCAAATCTAATATGCAAACTTCGGCTTTGCTTTAGGGGGAAAAGACCATTCAGGCAGTGCCAGCAGGAGCAAAACCAGCTATCATCACTGCTACGAGACCTATCACGAAAATGATTGTGACTCAGCCAAAAGGAATAGGCTCTACAGTTCAGCCAGCAGCTAAAATCATCCCAACAAAAATTGTTTATGGGCAGCAAGGCAAAACACAGGTATATGGGTCAAGTACTATGATTTCATTTCTGTGTTTTCTCTTTTGGGGTCAGAGATATCCAAGAACTCAAAAGTTTCCATCATACCCAGTATTCCAACATCTGTATCATAGTGAAAAGAGCACTGGATTTGTCATCAGAACACTGCAGTTCTAATTCTTGGTCTGCTACTTTGTATCATTGAGCCATTCACTTTTCTGTGCCCTGGTTTCCTCATCTGTAAAGTGAACAGGTTGAACTAAATGACCTCTGAGATCCTTTCCAGTTCTAAATCTTCTATCCAAAATAAAAGCAAATTACTTTAAATTATGGTTGGGCCCACTAAAATCTATATAGAATTATTTATTTTCTTAAGGCTGGTATGTCTCAGCCCCTTAGATTGGCCCACATATCTTTAGAGATTTGTTTTTTTGGGGGGGATGTACCATTGATTGGAAAAGGGGAAGGAGTCTCATCCCTTTGGAACCAACTTTGCTGGTGGTTGGGCTGGTGGTGATGAGGGTACAGATCTTCAGCACCCCCAGAGTAAATTCTTTGCATCTTAATTTTGACCTCTGGTGTATTCCTACTTCATCAAAAGAACCACGATTTTGTCAGTAGGAGTATTCAGCAGATGCTAATCACATCTCCACCGTCTTTCTAGGTAGTCATCCTGGGTTACTGTGACTAGATATATGCACTGTCAGTTCACCTACCAGTGGTTATCCTTTCTTCACAGAGCTAGGCTGATCCTCCCCTGACAGACACCATCAACTATTTGGCCAGTAATCAAAGCAAGTCCCTTCAGTACATTAGAAGATGGTACTTTTTTTTTTTCAAGGAAGGCATATTAATGAATACAAATTTTGCCAAATGTCTAAAATTGATTTCAAGATATCTGAAAAGTTTCAAAGGCAAATTTGAAAAGAACACTATCAGAACTGGGTCAAGAGAAGCATAGCAAGTGACATTTACATAGAACTTTACAGTTTACAAATCTTTTCTTTACCTTATTTCATTTGAACCTTGCCACCGCTCAGTTAGTGAGGTAGGTAACGCTAGCTGTTCTCAACACTTGCAAATAGATTTTGCATGTGAACCCAAATAAAACCTCAGTTCTTTATATTTTTACTTGAAAAAGATGAGAAAAATAATTGCTTAACATATATTTATATGTACGTATAGATTGTGCCTGTGTGGCATGTATGTACACATTGTGCACATAGTAATTTAGTATCTACCTGTGTGTGTAACTTTGTATATGTATGTATATGGATGTGTGCATAACCATGCATGCATACATACATTTGCCTCTGGGCCTCTGTGTGTGTGTGTATATTCACACATGACTTAGACAGCCAGCCTTGAAGTTAGGAAGACTTGGGATTATATTCTGTCTCGCATGTGTACTGGCTGTGTGACCCCAGACAAACTGCTTAACCTCAGGGCCCTAGGCCACTCTCTAAGTCCCTAAGTGGCAGAGAAGGGGATCGCCTGCATTAGTAGAAGGCATTTCTTCACCGAAGTTCACTATGGCAGTGAAATCATAGGTTCAGTCCCCTTCCCCTAGAATCTGATAAAATAATCACAATCACAGTTTGAGTGTTTATCTTCTGATGCTTCCATTTGTGTATTTGTAAAGATTTGTTGCCATTCTGTTTAAAAAGATATGTTGGAGTGTGGGTGGGTGTATATGTGGGTATGTACTTTGAATTCTGCTGTTCTTGCTTTGCATCAGTCTATGTATCTACATATTTCTTTGTATTCATATTTGCTTATTTTTTTAAAGGCACTTAGTATTTCATTAACATTTAAGTACTACAGTTTATTCAGCCACTCATCAATTGTTTGTCATGTAGGTTGATTCAATTTTTCAACTTTTAAAAATAAAACAACTACAGATATTTTGGCAGTGATAGGTCCTTTTTCCTCCCACAGTAACATCTTTAGGCTATGGTAGGAAGTAGGATTATGGTAAAAGTAGGATTGCTGGATTAAGGAGTAGTTTCAGTTTTGTAACTTTTTTGTAAGTTGCCAGATTATATACTTTTTCCCCCAAACTTAATTTTTAATGTAGATTTTCTTGTCTTCTTATTTATTTTTTTCTTTTAAGGAGTATTTTATTTTTTCCAATTACATTTAATGACAGTTTTTAACATTTTTTTTTTTTTTGGTGAGGCAGTTAGGATTAAGTGACTTGCCCAGAGTCACACAACTAGTGAGTGTTATGTGTCTGAGGCTGGATTTGAACTCAGGTCCTCCTGACTCCAGGGCCAGTGCTCTATCTACTGGGCCACCTAGCTGTCCCCTGCCCCCCTCTTTTTAACATTCATTTTTTAATAAAATTTTGAGTTCCAAATTTTCTTCCTCCCTTTCCTAAGATGTTTATCTCCTCATTTAATCAAAAAGTGACATGCCCATCCTTCTCATGAAATCTACAAACATCCCATTATTTTCCCAAAATTACATAAAATTTTCTTCCTAATCTTCAGTCTTCTGGTTACTTATTCCTTCTAGTATTTCATCTTAATATTCATAAATTCATGTAATATTTGAACAGGAAGAGACCTTAGGAAAAAGAACATAGAATGTTAGAGTTGGAAAGTGATCTTAGAATATCACAAGCCTAGAGCTGGAAGGGACCTTAGAACAAATAATGTTACAACTGGAAGGAAGTGGTATGTTGGTCCAAGCAGAGCTCTTGGAACATTGAGCATTCAGGACCATCCAACCTTGTCATTTGACATATAAGGAAACAGAGGGGATCTGACTGGCCCTTGGTCACATAGCAATTGGTGGGAGAATCACATCCAAGGATCAACTCAGGAGAAGCACAACCATCTCTCATCACTACTGTGAGTCTTGTCAAGAAAATGATCATGACTCAGCCAAAAGGAGTAGGCTCTAGGCTTCTAGTCTTGCTAACCACCAGCTCATTGCTGTCCTGCACTAAATTGGCTACAGCCCAAATGTCTGTGCTCCCTTTCTGTTTACTATGAATGTTTTCATACTGGATGGATCATAGGTACAAATTGTAATAATCCTTCTAATGTTTGTTGGGTTTCTGATGATTTATTGGTTCCTTACCCTGCTTGGCTTAAAACTAATCCTTTTCAGTTCAAGACTAAGTCTTATTATTCCTTGAGCATGCTTTTGGGAATCTTGGCTTTTTTTTTTTTTTTTTTTTTTAAATAAGATGTGCTACTTGGTAAGCTGGACATGGGTTTTTGTATTTGAAATACAGAATAAGTTACATTCCCATAGTTTTGTATGAATTATGCACAAAACACATTAAGAATGTGGTTTATATTGTTTTAGTTTTATGTAAAAAAAATTCAAAGCAAGTTCAGACTTATTAAATATGAGCTTAGCTCTTTAAATGGCTCTAAAATTGCAGCTGGACAGATTTTTACTTTTCTTTCAGGTTCTCATCAAACCAAAACCAGTGACATTTCAAGCCACAGTTGTTAGTGAGCAAACACGACAGCTTGTAACAGAAACCTTACAGCAAGCTTCCAGGGTTGCTGAGGCTGGGGCCACGTCTGTTCAGGAGGTGAAAGAGGAACCACAGAGCTATACAGAGAGTAGCTCCTCTTCTACTGAATCTTCCCAAAGCTCCCAAGGTAAGAGCTATTTCACTTCCAATTTCTTCTTTTTTAATTTTCTTATTCTTAGTGAACTTCAGCTTCCTCAGTTATAAAGTAGGATTACTGCTTTCTCTCCCCACCTCAAAAGCTTGTGAAGACCAAGATGAAGTACTACTGTACATACTAATGAAAGCCGCTTGCGTAGTTTTTTAAACTGTTAGATGATAAAATCGGCTTCTACTACTCAAAATAAATGCACACAGTATTAAAGCTGGGGAAAAAAAACATAGAGAGCACATAGTCCATTTTCCTCCTTTTAGAGATGAGGCTCCATTTCAGAGAAAGGAGGTGACTGAGAGCATTGCTAGGAGCCTGGCTCTTAGCCTTGGGAGCTGTCTGACCATGGGCTAGTCATGCCCTTTCACTGAACCTCATTTTCCCCCCGGTTCAGTAGAGATAGAAAACTTGACACAATCCATCCCCAGAGCCGTTTGGAGGAAAGCCTCCTGTGAATCTTTAATGGCCACCAAAATGAGCTGCTGTTATTCTGTTGGCTTTTAAGGCTCCCTGTTTGAGCTAGGACTAGAACCTAGGTCTTGCACTACTTGTCCAGTTTTTCCATTAAACCAAAAGCCTGGGAGCAACTTGATGACTGACCTCCAGAGAAAGGGAAATTCCTTGACGGCAGGAACAGGGTTTTTTTTTTTGTCTTTCTCGCCATAATGCTTAGCCCAGCGCCTGCCACATAATAAGCCCTTAATATGTTCTTGTCGACTAACTGAATTGAGCTGAATTCATAGATTGATAGATCTAGGAGGTAATTTACTGAGTCCAACCTCTTCATTTTACAGATGGGAAACTGAGACTCAGAGATTTACTCAAGGTAATATTATAATTTAGTGACAGAGACAGGATTAGAACCCAGGTTTCCTGTCTCCTAGTCCTGGCCTCTTGTCCCACAGTATAACTGGTTTTAGCCTTTATTTTACTATTATGTTACCATAGTTTTTACCTAAGTAATTAAAACTATTTCTTAGAGGTTTTAGGGGGTGGAGGGTGGGGCAGGGGGAGCTCAGTCTATTCAGCATGTCTAAATGTTTGACAAGAGGCAAGATAATGGAATGTTAAGAGTTGGAAAGGAGCCTTAAGAGATCATCTAGTCTATTCCTCATTACAGGTGAAGAAACTATGTCCCAGAGAAAGGAACAGACTTACTCAAGGTCACAGAGCTAGAAATAATCCGTGTGATGTATCATGAATTTAATAAAACATTTTTTTCCTGTCCTGCATGACAATGCTTGTCAAGGAATTATGAAATTTTAGGCCATATTTTTGACAGGTATTTCATGTCTGTTTAGAGCCATGATTCCCAAGCGATTAGCGTTAGATCTGTTTTCCCACCTATTTGGGGTAGTTAAGAGAGGGACATGAGTAGGTAGAATCTAATACTATTTGAAGTCCTTATTCCTGGATTTGAGGAGAGATAAACCTGACCAGGGGTGAGGAGTTAGGGAGGCAAATGTTTGACTAAGCTACATAGAAATGTACATCTTAAAATGTTAGAAGTCTATATTGACTCCAACTTGCCTGTTTAATCAAATTAAACTCCTAATCATGACCTTAAAGCCCTTTACCAACCTCTCACTCCTTATTCAAGTCTACTGATTACCAAAGTCCTCCCAGCTCTACTCTGCCCATGTTTAGATCCTCTGCTCCAGGTATGCAATGATGTAGTGAAAAAAGGCCACTAAGCTTAGAGTCTGGAAATTGAGTTTGAATCTCAGCTCTGCCACTTGCTTCGGAAAATCAGTTCCACTCTCTTGGTGGACTAGATCAAAAGTGTCAAACGTATGGCCCACAACACTTGAGTATGCCACAAACCAAATTAAAATGTAATTGGGACAATAAAATATAATAAAACATAGCTAATATTCAATGTAAAAACTAAGTCAGTATGCGACCTGCAGGGATCCTCATGAACAGATTAATGGCCACCATTTCTATTTGAGTTTGACACCACTGGATTAGATGATCTCTAAGGTCCGTTCTAGCTTTGCATTATATAATCCTAATGGTTTAATGGGAAGTGTACTGGCAGTGGAGTCAGAAGAACTGGAATTGAATCTTAGCCCTAACACTTTCTACTTAAATGGGCAAGTTGCATCATTCCTTATCTGTAAAATAAGAAGAATAATTCTTCCACGGCCTACTTCATCGGTTGTTGTAAGAAATGTACTTCGTAAACCTTAAATCACTCTAGAAAATGGGACTTTTTGGATCTGCTTCACTCTACTCATTCCTTTTTCTCTTTGAAACATCACTTTCAAACCCATTGCGTCTTCCCACCTTTTCTCTTTTCCAAAGCATACATAACCCCTTCCTTCAAATCACTGCTGAGTAATTTCTGGCATATTAAGTCTTCCAGGATTTTCTCTCCCTGGCTCCACTATTACTTTATCACCTATTCCCAGCTGCAATTGGTTGTATATTTGTTTTATGTGATATATAATAGAATGTTGATAATCCAGCAAGTATCTTCTGGACTTTGTTATATGCTGGTATTTAGAAATTACATTCTAATTTGGCTTTTAAAACTCTTCATAACTTCACTCCTTCCCACCTTTCCAGCCTTTTTACACAATGTGGTGACACTGACCTCCTTGCTGTTCTTGAACATGACACTTCATCTCCTCACCCTTTGCATTTTTATTGGTTGTGCCCCATGCCTGGAATTCTCTCCCTCCTCATCCCTGTCTTCTGGCTTTCCTGGCTTTCAAGTCCCAGATAAAATCCCAGCTTTTGCAAGAAGCCTTTTCAATCCCTCTTAATGCTAGTACCTTCCCTCTGCTGATTATTTCCAACTTATCCTCTATATATCTTGTCTTATATGGTTGTGTGCATGTTGTCTCCCCCATTAGATTGTGAAATCTTTGAGGTCAGGGACTATCTTTTGCCTTTTCTTTATATCCCCAGCACTTGTACAGTGCCTGGAACATAGTAGGCATTTAATAAGTTCTTATTAGCTTGACTAGCAGACAAACTTTTTTTCTTATTTTATTTATTTTTTATTTTTTTTATATTCCCTATATTTTATTTTTTAATTAGAGAATCAGAGAATCTTAGAGTTGGAAGGGAACTTAGAAGTGAGTTAATCCAAACCTTCCCTGAAGTGTGACTATCCCTTTGGCTTCACCAGTAGGTGGATATCTTAAAGACCTTTAGTTAGACAGAACTCACTATAGCATCTTTGGTAAGAAACCAGTTTGCCTTTATAGTAGAAGCTCTTCTTCTGCACATAAAATTAAATTTTAGATTTCTCACGTGGGAATAGAAAGGAGAATTGTGCCTATACCCACATACTATATAATCTCAGCCTTTTGAGTTGTTGGTTCGTGCCGTACTCAAAACGATTTTCAAATCCAAATTTCTCGTTTACAGATAACTCTTCTACACATTGGGAAAATATCTATCATATTTTTTGCAGTCATGTCATTTCAAAATGCTGAGTTACTGATTTCTCTTATGTTTTTGTTAGATTTGCCATCACTTTGTTGTGCAACCTTAGGCATCCGTGTTACCTTTTCTTTGGCCTCATTTTCTCCATCTGTAAACTGGAGGTATTGGACTGTGATCTCTGAAGTGCCTTCTAGCCCTGATATCGTGATTCTGTAATAGATTACTTCTTTGAGATGGTTTGTTTTTCCCATTGTTTTCATCAGATCATAAGCCCTCTAGAATATAACCCAAATCTCCCGCTTTTGAAATCTTCCTAAGGTAATTCTTCACTGTGCGGAAGAGTGCACAAGCATTCTGAATGATAGGCAGCACATGTATTCCAACAAAGTGTGCTGTCAAACCAATTTGTTTAGATGATATAATACTTACACTTGAATAGTGCTCATGTAAATAACATTCATATGTATTATTCAATTTTATTCTCAACAGCAATTTTTTGAAGGTCTGCTAAACTCACCTTATGGGATCTTGGGCAAGTTCTTTTACCTCTGGTTCCTAGTTTCCTTATCTTAAAAACTATAATTCTTTGAATTAGGAAGAACAGGGATTGCTAACCTCACTTTATGGATGAAGAAATAGAGGTGTACTGATGTATATGCCCTTGCTTATGATCACTTAACTAGTAAGTGATAGGACCAGAGTCTTTTGACTGGTAATCCTGTGTTCATTCTACAATTTTTTTTTCCTTTGGGGCAGAAAGGGTAGGTTAAAAAGGGGATTATATTTTTGATTTGAGAAAGGGGTACAACAAATACAGTGGAAAGAACACTAGATCTAGAGTCAAGGAACCAGGGTTTAAGTCTTGGCTTTGCTGCTTAATACCTGTGTGACTCTGAGCAAATCACTTTCCTTCCGTGGGTCTCAGTTTCCTCTTTTGTCAAATGAAAGGGATTGGACCAGGTGTGTCTCTAAAGTCCAACTTTAGATGATATGATCCTATGATGGCTGGCAGTCCTATAGAAGATTAAGTATTGTACCAACGGAATCACATCTGGCAGGAGTTATATTCACCAAGTAGTTGAGTTTCATTGGAAATAATTATTTGTTTTGCAAATTTTCTGGACCCCAGGATTATCCCTTCTCTAAAGAGCCCATCATTCCTCCTAGACCATAAGAATTTTTCCCATGCCTGGCTATCCCTTAATTCCAGAATGTTAGTGACTACTCTTGTGGGTCAAAAGAGAAGAAGAATTTAAGGCTTACTCCTGGATTATTTCTTGAGATTCAGTAATGGTACCTGACTGTTAAAAGAATACCCAAATAGCTGTATGAGGCTGAAGACCTATTTCTTCTGTGTGAAGCTACATTTGGCTTTCCTTCTTTGACTATTGTGTTATATTTAGGCTTGGTTGGCTATATATCCTTGGCCTGTTGGTTGACTGTGGTGCCTTTGTGTGACATGGACCAGGGTATAACCTGGTTCTGAGGTGTAAGGAAAGAATACTGGACATAGAGTCAGGAAAACCTGGAGTTTGAATCTTGATTCTGATACTAACTTTATGACTTTGCCAAAATCATTT